CTTTCCATGCTAGCTTTCCCGTAAGAAGTAAGGAACCTGGGGATAAAGATTGAGGGATACACTCAAATCTTCCATGGATACAGGTTGTGGATATGAATGGGGCATGTAGCCAGACCAAGGAACTTAATAACACTCTCATACCTTGTTGTGTGAACATAGCCAAGATGATCAGCATTTCTTTGCAAAGATTTGTAAGATTGTCACTGACACCACAGGCTGTGTGTGTCCACCTCAGCTTTTCAGCCTGCTTCTCCTGGGCTTGTAACATTAACATTCTTTTCAATCAGGGACACAGAGAGGAGCTAATGACTCATATCTTCTAGAGGTAGGGAGTAGTTAAAGCACTGAGTGCCAAGCCATCTCTTGTAATTATGTTGATAGGTTTGACAACCTAGAAACTTTAATAGCGTCTTAAAAGCAGACTTCCTGAAGTAAACAAGAAGATGTTAACTTAAGGGAAATGGAAGGAGAAAAACATAATTGCCTATTGCTATGTCCCTTATTTCCTCCTTTGTAAGGCAGCAATTCCTCCACACATACCTTAGTTCTACAAAGCAATGAGATCTGATGACAGCTCTGATTATCCAAAATTGTGTTCACTGTCTTGTCCTGATTTTCTGACTATTATAAACAAATAGACTTATGTTGCAAACAGCTGGGGATATTCCCAAGGACAACACACAATTCTGATTGTCCTAGGGAAAAAAAATACAGTAAAAATCTGTAATGATTCTCCACAAAACAGTTGACACAGGAAGCATTAAGCTGGGTACCAAAAAAGCTTGACTTTCATGGGATTCACTCTTTTACATCTGGAAACATGTGGTAGATCATTCTCCATTCTCTGAAGGATATCAGAGGAACTCTGTTGTGTCAGGTATCTAAATTCAGCTCCTTCTTTTCTATGCAAGTGATACTTCAGAAGATTCACCATAAGCCCAAAGCACTTTTTTTAACAGGAAATGGTGGGTTTTTAATTAATGAAATGCCATGTTTTCAAATAAGTATTGCCATCTAACTTGAGCTTTAGAAGTTAGAATGATTGAGAGTGTCTAAGGAAGTAAGAAAGCTATTTCTTTATTGGCACTCATGTGTATTGTTAGGCAAACCGGTATCCATTTATTGGAAAAGAAAAAGGTATATTTTCAAAGGAGAAGAAACGAGATACAGAAGAGTATAGTATTTGCTAAAAAACATGAGCAAGAATGAATGATTGTCCATCAAATTCAACTTGTATGAAGAAAAAAATAATCTCTTTTCTTGATTAATCTACAAAGTAAATTACCCTGATAAGACCAAACTATCTCAAGCAAAATTTCCTCACTCCTGGGCTATCACTTCTGTAAGTTTCCTGTAATATGTCAATTCAGTTTTTCCAGCATTCTCTGCCCTCAGCATTGTTTTGTGATATGTGGCATGATAGACCTTTCTAGGCATTAAAATTCAAATGAACATAACAACCATCCCACTTAGTTTCCTGACTGTTGAATCCATAGTTTTGGAGACTAGAGAAACATTAATTGAGAAGAGTTGTGTCTAAGTGTAGCCACTTGTGTAAGCTAAAACCAAAGCTTGTTGGCTTTTCCTAACATAAGCTAGCACACAGGAACCTGAGTGGCAGAAGTCCTACTAGAGAGGTGTTGCTAGATAAAAGGTGGCAACAATCTGCTCTTCACTGGTGAATCATGGAAGAGAAAAAGCTGTCCAAGTAGCCATTGCTAGCTGGGGTTAAATGTGACCAAGGAAAAAAAAGCAGATGCTCTAGTTTGGGATTTTTGCAGTGTTCTCCCCTGAAAAAAAATCTTTAAGAAATGCTCCTTGCCAGTCTACCTCATGAAGAAAGGGAGTGGTTGAAACCACATTTGACTTCGTCTTGAAGTCAATACTTTTCTTTGTGTGTGGTAAGCAGCTGGGGCATCTCTTCAGAAGCTGTAAAGAATTTCCTTTTATAGCTAGGAAGCTGGGCAGAGTAGACTATATAAAGGAATTTTTTTTCTTCTAGTCCTAGCAGTAGACATTAGCCTTGTGGTCGTGGAGTACAGAGTTTCAACAGAAAGTAACTCAATTATTCCTACCTTCATTTCCACCCACAACTCCCAAGGAATAGTCAGAAGCTTTGACCTTGAATCTGAACCAGGAGTTCCACCTCAGCCAAAAGGTATTCTTTATATTTGGAATCTCTAGTGAAATACGAAATGATGAAAGAAAAACCTTCCCTCACAGCTATTTCCTGTGCAAGTTAAAGGCAAACATTACGATTGGTTATACTTTATATAAAGGAACCAGAAAATGAGAATAGAAGCCTTGAAATGCAATTTAAATTTACATGCTCTTCACAATAAAAGAAAAAAGTTCACTGGATTTTTACTTCTGAAAATTATGTGGCATTCTTAAAAAGTTCCAATAAATGGACCAACACTTTTAACTTCCAATAGTGTGCTGCATTCTGTAGTACATTTGATGCTAGGATCTCAAGTTATGTTCATGAACGTTATTACTGGACTTACTTTTATGTGGTTTTATATTTTAGATTAAATACTAACAAATAAGAGGGAGAAGGATAAAACAGATTAAATTGCTGCATTGTGAATCAGAGGCAGCCAGGTAGAGGACACACATTACTTAGGATCCAAGGGCTATGCATCAAGTTCATAAAATTCCTACTGAATGTTACAACTGCTGTCTGTTGGTTTACAACAGTGCAAGACTTTCATAAACCAGGGTGGTTATTCATTAGTAAAACCTTCCACAGTCTTCTGTACAAAACAAGGTAGACTTTTATGGTGTCAACAGTTACATTATTTCAAGTGAAAACTCACAATGTAAGAAAACAGCAAAGGAAACTAGAGAGAAATTCTTTACTGACAGCAGATAAAACTCAATATTGCAAAGCTGAAGATCTCCTTTAAAACTTCAGAAACCCATCCTGGTATTTTAAAGCAAGGGTGACCTAGCTTAGGGAATGTAGAGATTTAAAACAGATTGTGCCACCTCAGAATAAATGTGATTGAAAACAAAGAGAGGTATTGCTGGTGATTTGCTTTTCTCATGTCTTACCTTGAGGAACACAAAGAGTACGCATAGCAGTAAGTCTGATTGCTTGGCAGTATCAGCCACTCTTGTGGTAAGGAAATGTGAACTCTCTGAACAAGCAGCAATCGTTTGCCAGGAGAGGAGTGACTGGGAAATGCCTAAGATATACGCACAGTAAAAAAAAATTGTTATACTGTTCTAAGGATGCAGTATATTGTCTCATTGTTTTCTGGTGCAGAAACAGGAGGAGGGGATGAAAGACTTCCTTTTACATTCCTTCCAACCATGAAGAGAAGGTCTTTGTAGGACACTCAAATATCCCCTTATGTGTTAACTCAGCTGCTGATAAATGTAACAGATTTTGTGTCCAAATGAAAACACAAAGAGTTGGTGGAAAAATGTAAACTCATTTTGTGAGAGATTCCAGTATTTTTAATATTGTGTTTAGCACCAGAATACTAAGTTAAACAGCATCCTAGAGTAGGTGCTCATTTAATGATGGCTGAAGTGTTAAATACAGAAAAGTGTTCTTCAGAGAATTACTTTGCATATATGAAGCTAAGGCTCCCAGGTTCAAAGGTAAACTTTAACAGAAAGTACCAAGAAGACAGTGAAAATATCTGCAGCTTTTATGTTGAGGAAATCAGGATTTTCTGTAAATTAAAAGTGCAAGAATCTGGGTTTACCTAATTCCATTTTTATCGCAAGTAAGGAGAAAAATATTGAAAGCAGTAACTCCATGAATAGAAATGAATAGGAATGGGGTGGGTAAGGTGAGAAAAACAGAAGTGATAGCTTAGAAGGCAAGAATTATTATGATAAAATGAGGATTATAAAAATTAAAAAAGCTAGATCTCAGAAAGAATATTAAAAAAACCCAAACCCCTTCTTTTAATTTCTTGTCTTTATAGCCTAACCACCCAATATTTCCTTTTCTTAGTTACATTCTTGTTTGAAAAGGTAACTGAAGCTATGAAGGAAAGGTAACTTCAGACAAGAACTTCAGACAAGCACATGTTGTTAATAAAAGTAAACACTAGCTTCAGAGGATCTAGAAGCAAAAATGCTTGCATGTTTTGAATGAATTCAGAATTAATATATTCCTAGCTAAAAGTGTCATTAACTTTATGTTATTTGACTAACAAATAGGTGAAAATTAAAAATAGATTTCTATTATTTACATGTTGTGTGTTTCTTTATCTTGACAGCACTTGTAAGAAGGTACTAAGATAAAAGACTTACTTATCTAACTACTCCAGCTCTGCACAATCTAAAACACATCAAAGGAAAAATATTGTAATGCTCAGTTCCAGAGCGCAGGTCTTGCTCCAAAAAGATATTTGATTACTAATATACCCACACTATTGCAGACTTTATTTCATGTGTTATCTGTACTTGTGTTAGTCTTTATTATCTCACCATGCATGAATTTTCCTTCACCTGTATTTAGCTGATGAAGCATGTGGATACTTGGATGTGGTAACTTTCTCCTTGCTGCTTTCCAGCTTTTCTTTTTTTAAAAACAGATGTTGAAGTTCAGTGTGTTTTTAATATGATATGATGTGTACTTAAACTGTTTATGAGTAGTCTGACACAACAGGTACATGCAGTTCTGCCTCATTAATATCTTGGGTCTAGTATGTGCTTTCATTCATTTAATTTCAGTGGCAGGTCAGCAGAAAGCAGTAATACAGCAGGTGGAATATCAGCAGCTGGAAAGTGGTTAAAAACAAGAAGATGTCTGAAAAAGAAAACTTATCAAAAACTCAGAGGCTGAACACAGGCACAGCTTTATTATTTACTGAGACTTCATGGTCACTGATGACTTGGGCATCTCCAAGACAGATGATACTAGTCGTAGTCAGCAGCCTGCCTTGGTCATTTCTAAACTCGCTCAGTGCAGTTGCAAACTCCAATGGATTACATGGAAAAGTTTAGCAGTTGAAGGAAGGAAAGGGTTGACTTACTGAAGTAAAAGCCTCTGTCTCCACACACAAATTGAAGAGCATCAACCAGCTCAGCACCACAGAGTGTTTCTGGGCCAGCAGCAGCAGAACTGGTTAAGGTAAGCAAACACAGGCCAAGGTAGAAGAAATGAATGTAGGACACAGTGTGCATCTTCACCTGCCAAGGAAGCAAAAGCAGTGTCAGAATTTCCCAACAGAGTCCCAAAGAAAATGGCTCCTGCACCCCTGTGAGTAGAGAATGTGTATGTACTGTAATTTGTTAGACAATAGAGTATCAGGAAATGGCTCACCATAATTTTGCAACTGTGTACGTATTTTGTAAACTGATTATTTCCTCTGGTGAATACTCTTGATTCACATTCACATGCAGTTAGAGAGCCTTGTAGTACCTATGATTTATGGTTGCTCCTGCAAAAGGAGGATATGGAAGAGTGCAAAACACAGGTAAATGGAAGCCCAGAATAGTAACAGTAAGGAAGACTAGACAACCTTGAATTGTTTTGTCTGAGGCTTGATAGGCTAAGAGGGAATATGTCAATTGCCTGCCAGTGTACTGTGGGAGATGGAGGTGGCATATGACAGGCAAAAGCTATTTAAGTGAAAGAACAGCACCGGCACAAGAATAAATGGCTGTGAACTGGATGGAAGGAAATTTGGTCCAGTAGGAAAAGGGTTCATAATTAGCACTCCATGGTTCTCCAGCCACCTTCAAAAGGGAAATACTAAGAGAAAGCAAAATAAGCTTCAAGATAGAGCTTGCCAAAGTTACCAAAGAGTTGATGTAGGACTTTCTATAGTAGGGGACCACATTCAATGACTCCTATAGTCCTCTGTTTCTAGCAAGTTAAGAGAAGCACAAGAGTACTCGTGGGAGTGTTAAGGATTTGTATTTTCACTTGATGGAAGCACTATACTTTCAGTGACTTCCATTATATCCTCTTTGATTTGGCTATGAGTTATAAACAGAGGTGACAATTCTTTTCTCCTTTATATTTGGTTACAAACTGTCCTTTTCTTGGACTTATGATTGAAGAAAAGCCAATCCTCAATGGGTGTAAATTTGCACCATTCAATTTATCCACTTCCTTTTGTATCAATTCAAGACAACGAAGGATCTTACCCAACATGTCAAAGAAAATAGCATTATTTTTTTAAATACTAGGAAAAGCTATTTATATTTAGTAGGAGAACAGTGAAGAAAGTGCTTAACGCGTGTTTGAACTGATTTAGATCACTTGCCAAAACTGCTAGTTTTGAAAGGTGTAAATCTGCATTTAATTTCATTCTCTCTCAAGGTTAACATTAGTATTGCACTCAGGAAAGAAGTTACAAATCTTTCTTGCACATACAGTTAATCTTGGCTTAAAACTGCTTTGTATTAGCAGACTAGTGCAGAGTAATTGGAGTAAAATGATTAATCTTCCCTAAAGTTTCTTTCAGGGTCTCAGGGAACATTTAATCTTATTTTTTTCACTGAACTTTTGAAAAACCAGTGAAAATATCTATTGTCTGCTCATATGGGATCTGATCCAGTAGAGTATTGAGTCTTCTCTAGTCAATAATTTTTAAGTATTCTTATTTTCTTGGCAAGGGATCTTAGCATCTTGCTTGATGAGTCCCCTACTTCAACTCAAGTCAAAGCTGAATAAGAGACAAATCTGTAAATAAGTCAGAATTTATTCCCTTCTTTTTTTCCCTGATATTTCCACTGTGAAAACAATGAACAAATCTAAATCCCATGTTATATTATAAAAAGAAGGAATAATTATTTTCCCATTCACAAGAGTCTTTAGCCAACTTTGCCATGCAAAAACCAACAAGCTTTAATGCATGGACATGACTTCAATGGCAGATAGAGGAAGATCAGATTATAAATGAATGATGGTAACACAATGCATTATTTCCTGTAATGATTCCATATCTTAACAACAGCAGTTTCTTTTTTTCCCTTGCCATATTCTTGACTTTCTAAGACAACTGTGATGCACCTGCAGTTTAAGATGGTTCCCTGTTGTGAGGAGGTAAAGCAGAAAGCTGTTTAGCACACCGCCTTAGAAGGCTGAAAGACATTACAAATACAAGAACATTATGTATTTAACAATTTGTTCTTGTACAACTTTTGGGCCAGAAATAAACATAAATCTTACACATTTAACAATTTGGTATTTTTCAAGACTTTTCAGCTGGGTTGCATTTTCAGATAAATATCAGCACTGAACTACAACAAAACAGATTATCTACTGTTTTTCCTTTAGTGGAAGCCAAAAAGGCTGCACAGTATAAACCACAGAGAATTTCTAACTTTATCTCCCAATTTAAAAACAGTCAAGAACTTTCAAACAAGTAAAAACTTCGGGGAAAAGAAAACAGACTCACATGTTTCTAGGGCTCAATCAATTACTTGTTAAATTAAGTGCTGTTTCATCAAAACTGATTCCAAAACATAGTTTAAAACTTTAACTTTACTACATCATTTTAATTAAACATAACATTAGTTGATTCAATATGGTTGTGATAAAATCAAAGTTCCCATTCATGTCTAGGGGGGAATATTCTTAAGAAAATACAAAGTTGCAATGCAATATTGCTTCAGGTTCCTTACAAACAGGCAGGATGCTTGCAATGTCCCCAATTTGACTAGAAAGTTAACAGTTTAAAAGAAAATGCATTGGCATGTGGGTGGGGTTTATTGAAGCATCTAATTACATTTGGAAATTGAATACAGGTTCAGGATGAGCCTGGTTAAGCACTTCTTTTAGCTGCATAGAATGACTGACCATATTTTCACAGCTGGAATTTCCTCTTTTTTCAGTAAAATAACCAGCTTCTGCTGCATTCCTCTTTTAATAGTCCAGAAGAGTGGCACCACAGAGGAATGTCATATATGAATACTCTACATCTCTTTTACTTGTTAGTTCTTCTATATAAGTCCTCTTCATCTAACAAACTATCAGTTGGCACAAGTTGTGCATAAGAATTCTTCACATGCCTGGTCATTTTAATAACATATAAGAGCATCTACAATAATTATAAATATCTTGAAAGGGGCAACATTTTTATGGATAGTATAAGCTAGAGAAAAAAATCAGGAGTTGTATTCAAAATTACATAGAGCTTACAAAACTACACAGAGGTTGGACCTGATTACCAAGCCATAGTACAAGTATTGAATTAGCATGTAATAACAGTATTCACTAGAAATTATTATGTAAATAAAGCATATATACTCTGGAATGGATCAAGGTTTAAATACTGCTAACTTTGATTACAGAATCTGGGCTACATCCTGACCTGAGTCAATATGTTCCATTGATTCCAAGGAAGTTTGGCAGGATGCACCAGCTGAGGAACTAGCACATTACTTTTATGTCTCCTAGTGCCTTGCTCAATACTTAAAAAAATATTCTTCATCTTTCAAGTATATTGGAAGGGATGTGCATTTATACATTAAGAGAATGGTTTAATCCATTGCAATTACAGACCTGCTCTTTTGAATCACATTAAGGAATAAGTGTGTTTTAAGTGCTAGACACTCTAAAAAAAAATAATTAGGCCCTAAACAATCAAAACAGGACAATTCTGTCAACTGCATAAGTGTCCTTGCAAAATACTAAATAGAAAAAGTTCTTGACAGATATAAATTTGCTGATAATGGAAAGTTGAACTGGGGCCAATTGACAGAAAGAGAGGTCAATGCCCCTACTGAAGCCAAATTTACTTAAAGACAGTTAATATTAATGTGTAGAAATTATAGGGTCATAAGATGAAACTTCACATGCAAACTTTCCTGAAACAGCCCTCCCTGCAAGAGAAAACTTGGAGATGAACATGTAGGGGAATTTCCATTTTCTTTATGTACAATTGCTTAAGCTGTACAAATATGCAAGGTCAGCAAGAATCACAGCTGGTTTCTAATGTAGAAAACAAACTGAACTTCACATTTACTTCTAATTTATGAAAGCAAAAACCAAGTAAATGCTACAATGCTGCCAGAAAATTGCTGCAGTGACAACATCACTTAAAAGTTTCCCTGTGAAATCATGGACATTTTATCTATAATTGTGTATAATCAAACTGCAGAAACTTAACATGTGAATACCTTTTTTCCTATAAAACCCTGCACCTGCAGAAAAGAGATAAAAGTTCTTGTTTTCAGAAGCATTAATTAACAACATAGACAATGATGTAATTGGACCCTTTAATAATGACATAACTGAAATATTGCAAAGTTTTCTGAATAGAAGTGAAATTTAAGACATGTATCTGCAATAGTTCACCCTTACAGTTATCTATGTAATTGCAACTATTACACACAGCCATTTTCCAGATCAAATAAAATTGCATGTTCAGCGATTTATAAATAATTCCCAGTCCTAAAATATTGTTATTGAAAAGTGCACAATAGTCTTCAAACCAGAAGCAGGCAATACACAATAAAATAAAACTAAAGAATTATTTGAAATAGTAATAAAGATTTACCTTCAAGAAATCACAAAAGCAGCACTTAACTAATTGTGTTGAAAGACTGTTGATTTTTTCCATTGCTTCTTAAAAGTGCAAAGTCTGGAAATGAATTTGTTAGCAGTAATGATGAGAAAAAAGAAATCCAGAGAGATGTGAGATGTTGAGAGCAATGTCACATTTCAATATTGAGGACTTTATTCCATTGCGCAGGCTCTATCTGCTCTGATTTTAGCAGTGACAGTGAGATTTAGCAAACAGAAGAGGGATTTAGAGAAAATCCTCACATTTATCTACATTACACAGACACTGTAGACAGGAAACAGCTGGGGGAGCATTTGCCTTCTCTCTCTCTCCCTCTTCTGGCAAAGTTACCGAGTAAGGACTTTTTTGGGCATGGTGACAAATAACATCATACCTTTGCATTTTAAAACTAGAGCACAGAAGAATATTTTTTTTCCCCTTTAAAAGAATGTGAATTAGTGACTGAAGGGTTAGCAGACAAAAAAGCTTGTGCTGCCATGGAAAATAAGAAAAAGTATTCCGGTTAACTTTCAGATAGCTATGTGTGCATTTGTATTTATGTCTATTTGTGTCTGTATTTCAAATACATAAAAACTTACATACCTAAGGGCATTGTTTGTATATCTGCATACCTTTGTGTATATATATATA